TTTCAGAAATGCTGCAAACTTTCACAAACATCTTTCTCATGGCTCTGCAGGCCCTGCAGCTGCACTCAGAGGAGAGGTCACAGTTGGCAGCTGGGATGCAGCCTCAGGGTTGGCGCTGCCCACGGCTGCAGCCTTGCAGATGTCAGTTCTGCAGGAGTAGGACCCAGGTCTCCAGCCACATGCAGCTGTGGCTGGAACCTCCAGGGCCCCGGGAAGCGGGAACAGTTTGCTGCTATTAGTAGAAGTAAAAGCCTGCATATGGAGAAGCCTGCCCAGGAGCTTTAACTCGCGAGTAGTTTACTGGTGGCTACACCAGATGAGAAAGCCAAAATTTTTAACAAGTTCTTTGCCTCTGTTTTCTTGGACAGGAACCAAGACAGCTCTCCCACCACAGGTAGGGGCAATCTTGAGGATAGCGCTGCCAGGCCTCGGGTCTGCGCAGAAGTAGTTAGGGATCTCCTGGAAGGGCTGGATGTTTTTAAATCTGCAGGCCCAGATGCCCTCCACCCACGGGTGTTGAGGGCGCTGGTGGGGGTCATTGCTGTGCCCTCGGCCCGGCTGTACAAGCCATCATGGTCCATGGGCCAGGTGCCCAGAGAATGGAAACTAGCTAATGTGGTCCCCATCTATAAGAAAGGGAGAAAGGAGGACCCAGGAAACTATAGGCCCATAAAGCCTCACATCGGTCTTGGGGAAAATCCTTGAAAAAATTATCAAGAATCACATCTGTGAGGGGCCAGCAGGGGAGATCATGCCCGCGGGAAATCAACATGGGTTCATCAAAGGCAGGTCCCGCCAGACCAACCTGATGGCCTTTTATGACCAGGTAACTAAATCCCTGGATGATGGTGTTGCTGTGGACGTAGTCTTTCTGGACTTTAAGAAGGCCTTTGGCACTGTCTCTCACTCCATTCTTATTAATAAAATGAGCAACTGTGGCATTGATGCCTACACAGTTGGATGGGTCAAAAATTGGCTGACGGGGCGCACCCAGAGAGTGGTGGTGGATGGGTCGTACTCGACCTGGTGGGATGTGGGCAGGGGGTCCCCAGGGCTCGGTCCTGGAGCCTACACTGTTCAACATCTTCATCAGTGACTTGGACGAGGGGGTGGAAAACATATTGTCCAAGTTTGCCAATGACACCAAGATGTGGGGAGAGGTGGGCATGCTTGAAGGGAGAGAGAGGCTGCAATTAGATTTAGACAGACTACAGAAGTGGGCGGATGGTAATAGGATGGGCTTCAATGTAGATAAATGCAGGGTGCTGCACCTAGGGAGAAGGAATCCACAGCATACATACAAGCTGGGGAGCTCCCCCCTTGTGAGCACAGACGCAGAAAGGGATCTTTGAGTCATTATTAACTCCAAGATGAACATGAGCTGCCAATGCCGGACCGCAGCCAGCAAAGCCAACCGCACCTTGTTGTGCATTCAAAGATGCATCTTAAGCCAGTCCAGAGAGGTGATACTACCCCTCTATGCGACATTGGTCTGGCCTCAATTGGAGTACTCTTCCAGTTCTGGGCACTGCACTTTAAGAAGGATGTGGCCTGCCTTGAGAGGGTTCAGAGGAGGGCCACCCACTTAGTTGGAAGGCAACAGGGCAGGCCCTATGAGGAGAGGCTGAGGGACCTGAACTTGTTCAGCCTCAGCAAACGGAGGCTGAGGGGGGATTTGGTGGCTGCCTACAAACTCATTAGGAAAGATCAGCAGCAAATAGGAAAGGCCCTATTGCCCCCAGCAGCACCTGGGATGACGAGGAACAATGGCCAGAAGCTGCTGGAGAATAGGTTCAGGTTAGAGATTAGGAGGCACTATTTCACTGTTAGGGTAGCTAGGATCTGGAACCAACTTCCTAGGGAAGTGGTCCTCGCTCCTACCCTGGGTAAATTCAAAAAGAGGTTGGATGAACACCTGTCTGAGGTCATGTGATACCAGCGTGTGCTCCAACCAGTGGGGGGGGGGGGTTAGACTAGATGATCTATTCAGGTCCCTTCTGACCTTTAGCTACTATGAAACTATGAGTAAATTGCTCCCACATCAAATGCATGTATAGACACACCCAAGGCCTACTAAAGCTATTACAATGCAAACTAAATATTCAAAATTAATCTAAAGGTCTACAACATGAAATGGCTGGCATCATGGGCTAGGAAGCAAGCAAATGCAATATAATAGCAAAAAGCAACCATTCTTATGTTTGAGGAGCTAGCAACAGTACTGTGTGTACTATGGCACATCAACATCTTTTAGTAAGGCTTCTTGGGATTTTGTTTTTCTCCAAGCTTAGTAAAACCATTTGTCCAACCAAGGTCTAATTTCATACCCTAATAACTGATTTTAAAAATTTGTGCCATACTGTCCATTTTCAAATTGCTCCTCTTTATTCCTGTTGTTTAATTTTTGGGGTTCAGCTCAGTGACAGTACAGCTGCTTGAGCCTCAGCGCAGGGTAGCAAGCCAGTCCATATTCAAAGTTCTGGTAGGTTGATGTGATGGGTCATGTGAAGTCTTTGCTTTGTGTCATCACCACAGTTCTTCTCAACTTAGCAACTGAAGATAGCATGCATATGGGTACATATTGTGTGCTTGCAAATTACAATTCCACAATAGGTAATCACCTTAATGGACAACCCTCAGATTCTCAGGGTCTAGCCACCTATTCACATAAAACATTGGGAGTTTATTATGTCCAATGATACATTTTAGATTTCATTGGCATCAAGCCTTGAGTAACAGAGATTTAAATTTGAGGGCTTTGCTCATGGAAATATACATGAATCTACTTTTAAAATTTTTGATCAAATTAACTTCACCTATGACTATTTTACTATTTGTCTTCTACACATGGCCCTCAGATTTCTGGTGAAAAGAAAAAAATTCTGAACTTTAGTCAGGGCTGGTTTTATAGACCAATAATGCTGCCCATAAGAAATACCTCAGAGCTTGTTACTGGACTTTAGTGTTAGAATTTAGGTGGTGGCACTGGAGTCACTAAAATACTTGGAAAACAAAAGCTCATTCTCTGAAGAGAGCATTTATTGAGCACAGCCATTTGCAATTTCAAGCACAGGACAAAGAAACAACAGAAAAGGTTTACCTAAGACCCAACAAAATACAAAAACGCAACAACATACAATTTAGTCTAAGTCAAGACACAACACAAACTTTGCATAAATCTTACATAGTCCCAAGGACAGAGTGTCTGCTCCTAGTCAGGCAGTCAGAAGCTTTTTCTGGGGGTCTGCAGGTCTTCTTTTCTGGTGAGAATGGTCCCACAGCTTTGCCTGTGCTTTTATGGGTGATCCACACCATTTCCCCCCTCCTTGGTTGCCTTGACAGCAGTATTTCCTTCATGTCTCTTGCCCCTCACGTGTCTTTCACATCCCTAGTTTTCAGGGGTTTTAACAAAGAGCCTGCTGCTCACTTTGGGTCACATCAGAGCAGGGGTGGACAGTTATTTGGGCCGGAGGGCCACTTAGGCAGTTTTGGTGAGCTGTCACAGGCTGGGTCATCACCCCCTTCCCCCACAACAGCTCACCAAAACTCACCAAAAGTTGCTCTGCACTGGGCCAGGTGGCTGGAAGTGGGGTGCAGGCAGGTGGGGAGCAGCATCCAGGAGCAGGATGGGCATGCAGGGCTGGAGCTGGGATCACAGAGCCATGGCAGCTCAGGGCTAGGGCCTAGGCCTGGGGCAGAGCCACAATCTGCTCCCTGCATGACCCTGCAACAGGTGCTGGTACTACAGGCAGGGGTGTGTGGGGAGCAGATTATGGCTCTCTGCCAGGCCTAGGCCCCCTTGCTGTCACTGCTGAATGATCCCAAGGTCTCCATGGAGACTGGCAGAGGCCCGCATGGCCAGGCAAATAGGATGGGGCCACAAGTAAGCAGGGAGCTGCATCCAGGAGCAGGAAAGGAGAGTGGGGTCTGGGGTCTAGGGGTGGCAACAGCACAGAGCTGGGGGCTGGGGCAGAGCTGCAATCCATTTCCCACGCACCTCTACCCATGGAACCAGCGCCCATCACAGGAATGTGCAGAAAGAAGATCACAGCTCTACCCCAGACCCCTGTGATCCTACCCCACAATCCTGGCTCCACTTATTTGTCCCACTTCTGGAGGCCACTCTCACTCACCAATGGCCCCATCCCATTCACCTGGCTGCACACACTGTCACGTGGGTGACACTCCCAGTGTGGGGCAGACTGGCCAGTGTGCCTGGGCAGTGGAGCTGGGGCTGGCAGCAGTGGCAGCTGGAAGGAGCTACTGCTGCTAGCACTGTCAGGAAGCAAGTCCAGCCACTGTGCTGTCCCAGCTTCACTTTGTGCCCAGAGATGGGGGGACCAACTGCACATGCTACCGCCCAGGCTGCCTTCTGTGCCTGGGCTGGATGGGACCATGGGACTCACACCTGGCTGGAAAAAAATCCCTTAGCAGGCTAGGTTTGGTCCTTGGGCTGTTTTTTGCCCACCTCTGCATCAGAGTGTTTAAGCAGTCTTTCCCCTCCCCTGATACCTCAGGTCATGCACTCAACACCTGTCACTTAGCTCTAAAATTAGTTAAAGGACCAAAGAGTGTTAAATATGCCATACATTTGCCAACAAACTAAAGGTTTCTTAAAAAGAGATCAGTCCTAATCCTGTTTCTTTTAGGTCAAAACACATAAATAGCCAGCCTCTGTCTCCCTTGTTGCATGTTAAGGCTATTTCTACTTTAGGTGTCTCTTGTGAAAGACACATTTAACAATTAAGTAATCAGACTGTTACAACAAATATTTTAAAGCTTTATTATTATTCAGTCTACCAGAGGATGACAGATGAATAGCTTCTGGGAAAGCCAATAGTTTTTGCAAAATGTTGAGTATCTTTTTAAACGGAATGCTAAAACCTCTTCTTGGTACCAAGAATGAAACAAAGAGCAAGAGAAGTCAAATAAAAGAATTCAGTTCTCCCCAACCAGTGGCTTAGATGCTAGAAAAAAAAAGGATTATTTTTTAATGTCATAAGGTCCATCAAAATGCTCCAAGTGGTAGCAGGTCAGCCATTTGTGGTGAACATATGTAGGAGTTTGAAGTCTCTCCACATAATTTCACTAATTTTAAGAACACAGCTCAGGATTGTGCACATAAGCTGTTAGTCTGAAAAGACATTTTGCTTATGCTTACCTTGACTTTACCCCATTTTACCCCTTACCTGTTTACCCAAAAGGGTGCATGATTACCTTTTTCAGGATTGAGACTATAAAATTATTCAGGATGCTAAGTCACAAGCTTCCTATTTCAGCTCTATAGGAGGGATATCCACATAGTTTTTCTGGCATTGCTCTAGTTCTACTTTAAAACCAGAGATCCCCAACTCAGTTATAATTACAGTTAGTTACAGTTCAGGTGAACCTCACCCAGGCTTTTTCTCCAGCCATGGTGCAGGGTGAAGATTACAATTAGGGCCATTGCAGATGGATCTAGAAATAACCATTCTGTGACTACACATTGTATGGATAGCCTGAAGAAAGCCTCCTTGCAAAACCTAAACACTTCCCCAAAGTTGCATTTACCCTCCCCGTGCCCCAGTGAGGTTTGGTCAGAATTCTACAGATGAATCTGGACCCAACCCTTACATCTCAGCAGAATGGAAATAATGTCAAGTCAAAGTTAGAGTTTTGGGGCTCTTGCTGATACAGCAGTAATTTGTTTCGTTACAGCAGAAAGGTAAAAATACCACTTATAAGGAAGGTGCTGTTCTTCTGTCCTATTCTTGTATGCTTCCCAGCATTGTCCTGGGATCTTGGCTCATGAACAAAGACTACAGGTACTAAGATAACACAGAGGGAGGGAAGGATGGAAGAAAGGAAGGGAGCCCTACATGACCATTTCCTCCGAGGAGTTAAATGCACAGTCCATAAATAGCAATGCACCTACCTGCTATGCTTTAGATTCTGATTTTAATGTAGCTCTACTTTTGATAATGAGGTTTGCACCCTAGGAAAAGAAAGGACAAATATTTGTGCAAGATGATCAATGGGAGCAAGTGACACAGCGTTTAATCAGGAAGATTCTGTGTTCTCTAACTGTTGGACTCTTGTTGACACAAAAAGTCAAAACAGATGGTTCCTATTATCCTTCTCCCTTTAAAATCTATGTGTTCCTCTATAGTAAATATACTGTAGGCCACTGGTGATGCATAGGGGGTGCATGAGGGTGAGATTGGCCATGCACCCCCTGGAAGCGCCAGCCATGAAACCAGAAGTGCATTTCCAGTTTTGCCGCTGGCTTGGTGATCAACAGCTGGGGGGCCGCCTCCCCCCCAGTTGGCAATCAGCCACGGGGGGACCCCCCCATTGGCAATCTGGTGCCCCCCCAGATTCAGTGGTTTTCAAACTGCCTAAAGTCACAGAGATCTTTCATATCACTTCTTCTGCCGCAGAAACCCTACTTCTGTCCTAAATAGCTGATGCAGAGGCAGGCACCCTGGCCTGGGAATGGCAGCACACCATCTGCAGCATGCCCTGGCATTATCCTTCATCTCTTCACAGAACCCCTAATAACTAGGGTGGCCATCATAGAGGACATTCCAGTTTTCTACTATTCTGTCCTCTGTCCTCTACTGATACAAAACCAGGAGCATTTATGTCCTCTATTTTTCTCTTGGAGAAAAAAATAGAGGACATAAAGGCACCCAGTTTCGTATCAATAGTGGACAGAGGGCAACCGGACTATCCTCTATGATTGCCACCCTACTGATAACATACCATGGAACCCCAGGATTTCAAAGAACATAGTTTGAAAACCACTGCTCTAGACCATCATGTTTCTATGGAATTAGTTCAGAGTCAGTTGGTTCCCTTTCTAGGTGTGTTTAATTTGACCCCCATTGTAGTATCTGGATGATAAGTAAAAAAAATGTACTTAAATATAGTGTAATATTGGTATTTCAGTTAATAAATGCCTAGAGGGATATTTATTTCATGCATTAATGTACTACTAACAGATAAATCCTTCACATAATGGATTAGTACTGGACATAAATGGGAATCCACCTACAGGTCTCACACTGTTTTTCTGTTGTTCCATTTAATGTGAGGTGTCCAGGGACAGAGTATGTTTATCTCAACTTAATTTGTTCAGAATTTTTATTTTAAAATTCCTCTAGATAATTTATAGTTAAGAGACATAAATAGATATAAATATATTTATTTTGTGGTGCCTAAACCAAAATAAATGTAGCTATAGATATGTTTTGCTTATGCTTTCATTGATCAAGACTAGGCCCTGTATTATGAAAAAAGAAGGGATACCTCTTCGCCAAAGCAGGTATCATGGTCTGCTGCCTTGCAGCACTTATCCACCATACCACTAAAGCCTGTGACAATTGTCTGCAGTTCTTCATCTGTCATCTTGGGCTTGTGTTTAATGAGGTTGATGAGCATTCTGGAATGAAATCAAAACAGTTGATCTGAGCTAATTTACTGGAGTCTAATATAATATTGGCTGGAGACTTGTGCCAGTCCAGGGTTTGACTGGGGTTATGAGAAATGCTCAGAAGTGCATGTGTTAGTCAGGTTTGAAAAGTAATCCCTTGCTCACTATGAATCTGATCTAGGGTCCAACTGATGGGACTCTTTCCATGGATTACAGGGAAGCCTGAATTGAGGTCCTGAATGCTGAATATGAGAAAACAATACAGAAAAGTATCAAACTAATGCTTGTCCACCATAGCATAACTGAGGAGAGGGAGGATGCAAAAATATCTGCCACTGCAGCAGCAGCTGATCACCCTGCTGTGATTGGCACCAGGGCATCCAGCACTGTCCATACATCACGGATGCCTTGAGCATGGAGCTGCTCTGCTAAACCTCTGCCTGCTCCATTTGCTTCCCTCTGTCTGCGACTTCAGACTCAAGGCACTGGTTGTCCACTTCTCTTATTTGTCTTCAATTCTTGTCTCACCTTATCTTTAGGTACAAAAGACCCCCTTTGAATGATAGAATCATATAAAATTAGAGTTGGATGGGACCTCCAGAATCCATGTAGTCAAACCCCCTCCTCAAAGCAGGACCAGCCCCAACTATGGCATCCTAGCCAAGGCTTTGTCTAGCTGAGTCTTAAAAGCCTCCAGGGATGGAGATTCCACAGCCTCTCTGATCTCTAATGATCATCCATCCCACAAGCCACATTTCTCAGGATGCTGGCAGCAAACTGGCCAACTAAGACTCTCTTCTTCCTAGTTGTCCTCTGCCATGGTCTGGCTTGGACTGAGTCACCATGCCATCCTACTTTGCAACTGTGGAAGCTCCCAAGCCCAGGCTACCTGCAATTAATTCCTTAGTGTAGCCAGTCCATCAAGCTGGTGAACTTCCATGTCAGGATATTAATTCTTAGAAAATCTATAGTGAATTAGAGAGGTCTCACCCAAGATGGTTTTCTTGCCATATTTGAGGAGAAGCAGTGCACAATGTCTTATCAAAGTTGAACATGTCTGGGTTGAATGGTGGGAGCACATAGTTTTCATCCACTCCTAGCTTGGTGAAGCATGGTCTCCTGTTAGCATAGGATTCATTACAGCAGCACGCAACTTGGTCATTTATCAGTGTTGCTTCCTGTTTCTTGCACATATCCTGAATCACAATGCTAAGCTGTATAGAGAAAGGAAGAACAACAAAGTAAGAGTCAAAGCCATTTCCTCTTTAATGTGAGTACAAGGTGTGGCAGTAGGGGGCACTGCTATGCCTAGCTACTCACTTCACTGTGCCAGGCCCAAAACCACACTTCTTGAGTCTCCCCAGGGGAGCCCACAGCGAGCCAGGCCCCTTCTTGGAGAACCCCCACAATCCTGGGGTAATGCTGCCACCACCAAGGCACTGGTCTCTGTTAGGGCTATGTGCAGCCCCAGGTACACAGACCCTGCAAGTCTTAGGGGTTCTTTGCCCACTGGTAAGGTTTCTAGGTGCTTGTTTTAGCCCAAAGCCTCCCAGGGTAATCTCAGGTATGACCGAGTTAGTCAATAAACAGCCAAGCTCTGCTAGGAGGAAAAAACATGCTCTGTCCCCTCTCCCATCAGGCATTCACTGAAAAAAACAGCCAGTCATGCTGTAACTCAATACCTTTATTGTTCAGGGAGAAGAAAGAGTGTGGGGGTGGGGTGTGGACAATGGAATATAAGAGAAAAACACCTTGAGCAAGTTCTAATAAATTGAGTCTTTTAAACATGGTCTCGGTGACCTTTTTAATATGCATCTAAATTACTTAGCCCTAACCTACTAGTGAGTTTTCAGGCATATTCACTGTAAAACATCCAGGCAGCCCCTGGAGGTACTTTGATGCTACTTTCAAAATGTCCGCCGGAGGAAGCCCAAGCTCCCCTCTCCCCTCAAGAATTTATACAGCCCAGTTGCCTAGGTAACCAGGTTGAACCAAGCAGCCGGAGAAGAACAGAGGGGTAGATGGAATGTCCCAATCCACAGACAGAAGGGGATTTATTCACAGAAGGAATGCCTGTTCCTTGTTCTACAAAGAAAACCCATCTCAACAAAGACAAAGACCAAGGAAGAAATCTACTCACATATCTCTCAGCACAAGGTAGGCGACTATCTTCAGGTTTCTGGCAGCACTTGACACCAACAGCTGCCATCTTCTTTGTGATTTCAAGCAATGTTTCTGTGGCTACTTGAGGCATTTTCTTGGTGTAGCGGATAAGAACCCTGAAATCACAAGATTCCATGCTGGATGATCACTGTTGAACAAACTCTTGGCACAAAGTCATGTAGCAAAAATAGTTGCTCCAAGTGTAAAGAAGTCTGTCTAAAGCTGTACTGCTTCTGCAAGGGGAGTAGCAGAAATAGGAGCTGTCTCTCTGCACCTTTTAATAGGGACTGTCTCTCTGAACCACTTATGAAGCTGTTTTGTCCCTACAGTGCAGTATTGGTACTTTCTGAAGTGCCAGCTGAACACTTTTTGTGCCTTGGTTCTGGTCATCTGTCCCTGGAAATTTCACTTTTACCAAAACCCAAATATTTACTACTTATATGTGAGGATGCTTTTCAGGAACAACATACGCTTTTTGGAATTCAAATTCTCCTCCATTTTTAAGAAGGTCACAGTTTGTCTTTACAGTAGCCTCAGTCTCCTGGATGTGACTTTGAAGTTTCCCTTCCTGCAAGTAAATATATTTCTTGTTAACAGCATATAATGTAATCTGAGAAAGGTATACTCAGATTCCAACCCAAGCAAAAAAAGTATGTATCCACTTTTATCTACTATTAGTTCTAAGGTATATTTATGGCCTTCACATTAATTAAGAATCCTTCCATTAATAGATCCGTCCTCAGCACATCCCTAAGAGTCCTAACCACTTCAGGAAGTGCTCTCAGCATGTGTATCTTCATTACTCAGTAGTGCTTCATTGTGTCTACAGAAATGCTGCTGGAGTGTATCCTTATTTACTTAAACATAATATGACCATATGTCCCAGATTGGCAGGAACAGTCCCAAATTTTGGATGCTGGTCCTGGCTGGCTGACGAAAATTAAAACAATCATCCCAGGTGTGGGGATTATTAATACCTGTGAAGTAAAGAACGTTGGGTCACTAACAGGCCATTGACTCCCTGCAGCTTGCAGCAGCAGTGGGTGGGGAGAGAGGCAGGCAGGCAGTATCTCAGATTTCACAGTGTCCCATATAGTCACTGTACTTAAACAGGACCTTGTTTTCTTTCTCTCTGAATGTTCTCCTGAAGAAAATGTCACTCATACATATATTTGTAAACAATGAGCATAAGATTTGCATATATGAACTTAAACAAGTTGATGGGTTTAATCTTCTAACGCCAGCAAATCTTCTTGAATTCCTTTTTTTCCCCCCAGAATTCCTTCAGCATTAAGTGAAATTCAGGTTTTCTGGGGCTTGAAAAAATCAGTTTGGAGTTTGCTTTCAGAGGGCATATCCACACAATCATTTACTTCACATTAAATTTACAGTGCAGTAAGCAGAAATAGGCTAGCGTCTATACATGCAGGCATTAAAGTGCCTTAATCCTGTGTGTGGTCTGACTTGGGACCACAAGTCAATCCATACACACAGTTAGCCCCAAGTCAGTCCACGTGCACATTGTTACTGCGCAGTAAGGTGTCTACACATGTGTTACTGCGCAGTAACTAATCAGTAATAAATTCGATATCTGCATCATGCAAGTATCAAATTTACACCCGAATTGACATTAGTCACCATAGTTACTGCATAGTACAGGCATGCACGTGTAGACGTGGGCCCATACTGCACAGTAATTTTTGGTTAATGCACAGTAATTTAGTTTACTGCTTATGTGAACATGAAGATGTGCCTGGAGAGATATAAATCTCAAGGATCGAGGGAAATATGATGGTTTCATAGTATTTCAAAGGACAGAAGGGACCATTAGCTCATTTATTCTCATAGCTTATAGAGCCTGGAAAATAATCTAATCACACACATGTTCTTGGTATGGTCTGTGGGAAGTTTTGCCTTCCCCTGTACCTGGGGGCAAAGGTCCTCTTCCTGGTATGTCTCAAGTATATTTTAACAACCCTTGAAGCAGCAGTACATCAATCACTGTGGTTCCTCTGCTTTACTTATGGCAGATTAAGGTGTATCTTGTATCAGAGGTGATGCCTAGGGGGTGCACGCGGGCACACGTGCATCCCCTGCACATAGCAGTGCACCCCCTGCAAAAAGGCACCACCAACACTGTCTGCAGCACCTGCAGGCAGTCCATGATTGGCCCTGGCCACCACCAACACTGCCAATGGTGCCTGTGGGTGATTGCCAACCCCTGGTTGGTGCTTGCCACCCCCACCTCCAACATTGCCAGCGGTGTCTGCAAGAGCTCCCCTCCTCACCACTGCCAGGCTCCCACTGCTGCACTCCTGCTGCCACTGGTGCAGCCATGCTCCCCAGCCACTGGAGGCACCTGCCATTCATGTCTTGAATTGTATCAAGGTCAGCTGTGTAATTTTGATAAGAGATTAGACTATGGATTTGTATAGGATGGTTTAAATAGGGATGATCCTGCCTCAGGCAGAGGTTGGACTAGATGACCTCTGGAGGTCCCTTCCAACCCTTCATCTCCATGAGTCTATAATCTGACGGTGACTTCTGTTAGCTTCTTAAGAAGTAAATGCTTTTATTTAAAGTTCAGATCCTATTTCACTTATTTGGTATGATCCCATTTCAGCCTGTTGACCTCTCAAAAATCCATTAATAATTTACTTTTGTGATATATAGTCATCTGAATCTTTAAGACTGAGTCCAAAAAAGCAGTGAGGAGGATCAACCAACCTTTTATATTAACATCCTTTCAGAGACTTGTGAAGGGTGGAATGGAATCACACTGTGGTATCTAAGGCCCACTTATGTGTCTAATAGGTAGAATAGGCTATGGCATGAAATGACTTCATGCCTTTGACAGAGAACATGATTGACTGAGGTGTCTCCACTGCCCAAGTCCCCTGCACTGGCAGGGAACTGATCAAATAAGAGATGTCCAGATGATCTTTATAACATGTTGAATAGAAAAATGAAAAGACCCCAAGATCCTCCAAGGAAGATTATTCTGCACTGGTCCGGTCCTGCAGGGAGCAAACCAGGAAAGCCAAGGCAACTGAACTCCAACTAGCTTTGAGCATCAAGGACAATAAAAAGTCCTTTTTCAGATATGTGGGAAGCCGGCCGAAAAGCAGGGGCAACATTGGACCCCTGCTGAACCAGATGGGGCAACTGACAACTGACGCCCAGGAAAAAGCCAACCTATTAAATGGGTACTTTGCATCGGTCTTTCATCAGTCCCATGGGACGCCCATGCCCGCTAAGGGACAGGGAGGTCCGGGTGGGGGGAGATTCCCTGCCCTCCATAAACGCTGACCTCATGAAGGAACATCTTGAGAAGCTGGATACCTTCAAGTCAGCCGTCCCTGACAATCTACACCCCAGGGTACTCAAGGAGCTGGCGAGCATCATAGCCCAGCCCCTGGCACGGATCTTTGAAAACTCCTGGCACTCTGGTGTAGTGCCCGAGGACTGGAAGAAGGCCAATGTGGTGCCTGTCTTCAAGAAAGGGAGGAAAGTGGATCCGGCTAACTATAGGCCCATCAGCCTGACTTCAATCCTGGGGAAGATCTTAGAAAAGTTTATTAAAGAAGCCATCCTTAATGGACTGGCTGACGCCAACATCCTGAGGGATAGCCAGCATGGGTTTGTTGCAGGTAGGTCTTGCTTGACCAATCTCTTTTCCTT